CACCCTGTTTGCCAATGCACTTCAGCCCTCTGCACAGAATAAGTACTGCTGTCACCCATACTCTGTTTAACAGAACTTGGCTATGAGATTATGATGCACAAGTTATACCTACTGTCTTGGCTGCAACAGGAATTCTACCTTTCCGGTGCGTATACTTTATTAGTTAACTATTCGAACCGACTAATTCTATACAACCTAGACCGTCATAAACTCATCTTCTAAAGGTAATTTTCTGATGGTTTGAGTGAAAAAAGGTCCGGATTTCTTTTTTGTTCGCTTTAACAGGCGGTAATTTCTGCTTTACCGCAACAACCCATAAGGATTACTGCTGATTTGTCCAAAATACACGCCAGTTGTAGACAAAGTGGCTAAGAGCATGTGATTCAGTAGGAGTGAGCACCATCCACTAAAGCTTCAAGTTGAAGTAAATAGTAACGTTCTCACGAAATAACGAGTTATCTCTCACGAGCCCATAGCATTAAAGGCATCAAGTAAAAACCGAACTGTGAATAATATTTAAATTCTGAACGTTAAGTAACCTGACAACAGAGCGCGATAGCTAAGCAGGCCAACGAAGCGGGTTGTACAGGTGTTGTTTTTCGTCACATGCAAACAAGCAATCCGGGCAAATAAAACGGGACCAAATTGCCAAAGGTAAACTAGTCCGGTACCTCACCACAGCACCCCCCCCACAACTAGACTGGAGGGCGACGTTATACGGCGCCGGAGGACATGCATAAGCTTAGAAGAAATGCCTAACTACACGGTCGGAGAAATGGACGCGACAGCAGCGGCGGGTGATATAAGCAGGAGGTACAGTCGAAGAGGGTTGAGTGCGTGCTATGGTGGAGGATGATGTTGCATCAGGACGCTGTAGACATGTAGGGAGACGAAGTATGCGGGACGGAAGGGTAGAGGAGAAGGGAGGGGAAGGTTGAGGGAGTGGACAAGGTGAATGGGCAGGGGATAGCGAAGATGGAGGAACAGGGGTTAAGAGGTCCGTAAATTTTTGTCCTTGTGACAGGCCCGGCGGCGCCTCTGCAACAGCAGCCTTGACCCGATCGACACTGATTAAGTCCTCCTTGTCACCACGAAGAATCCGGCAGGTCTTGGCGTTGCGCGCTAGCACGCGGAACGGTCCTTCTTATGGTGATTCCAGCGGCTGGCGCACAAGGTCGCACCGGACGAACACGTGAGTGCAGTTGTCCAAGTCTTTTTCGACATAAGACTCAATCATTGGAGTTCGAGGTGAAACTGTGGATAGCGAGCGCATAAATTGTCGCAAACGGCGCACAAGGTTGTCAGGAGTCTCTTCGGCCCCACGAGAGGTTGGGGCGACCATTTCGCCTGGCAGTCGGAGGGTAGTGCCGAAAACCAATTCCGCTGCGCTACAGCCCAGATCCGACTTCAGAGCTGCGCGGATGCCGAGGAGTGCAAGAGGAAGGTTGTCCGACCAGTTTCCTGGGTCTTCTACGGCACGCAGGGCCGTCTTTAGCTGGCGATGGAAACGCTCAACCATACCGTCGGCAGCTGGGTGGTAGGCTGCCGTCTGAGTGCGTGTGCGGCCAAGGAAATTGAGTAGCGTTTAGAAGAGTGCCGACTCAAACTGGGCACCACAACCAGTCGTAACCGTGGATGGGGCACAGAACATGGCGACCCAACGACTGACGAAGGCCTTCACGATGGTTTCAGCCTGCACCTTCGGCAAAGGACTGGGTTCAGCCCAGCGGGTATATTGATCGACACAGGTAAGGAGGTTGGTGAAACCATTGGATAGAGGCAAGGGACCTACGACATCCATGTGCACAAGGCTGAGCCGTGCGTCGGGGCTGGGAATGTGTCTGGTGGGGACTTGTTATGACGTTGCACCTTGTTGCGCTGGCAATTCAGACACGATCAGGCCCAGGCCTTTACGTTCCTGTTCATGTCAGGTCAGGCAAGTCTTTTTGCGAGGAGCTTTTGAGAGGCTCGGATCCTAGGGTGGGAGACATGCAGATTTTGAAATACAGCTTGATGCATCGAGGCAGGCACGAAAGGACGATGAAAAGGAGTCGGGACGTCACAAAGTACGGTACCAGAGCCGGTGGTCAGAGGAACATCTTTGAGTTGGAGACCACTAGCGGACTCGTCGCCAGGACAACCGACTCGCTGTTGTTCAGCCACCATGGCGCAAAGGTCTATTCCGTGTGAGAATGGAGGGAAGACATTGAGGGCCTGCACAGTATATCAGCCACCTCATTATTCGTGCCATCAGTGTGGCGGATGTCGGTGGTGAATTGGGAGATGTAGTCCAGGTGGGCGATTTCCCTCGGATTGTACTTGTCGGAGTGGGACCGAAGTGCAAAAGTCAACGTTTTGTGGTCCGTGAAAACAGTGAAGTCACTATCTTCAAGGAAATGCCGGAAATGCTTTTCAGTCAGGTAAACGGCAAGTAGTTCGCGGCCAAAGGTACTGTAGCGTGTCTCAGTTGGTAAGAGCTTTTTGGAGAAAAAGGCAAGTGGTCGAGTCGAACCAACAAGGTGTTGTTGGAGGACTGCACCTACGGCTACGGTCGAAGCATCTACCATCAGGGACAGCTGAGCTTCGGGAGCGGGATGCGTGAGTAAGGTGGCGTCGGCAAGGGAATTCTTGATTCTCTCAAAATCAGTCAGTGCTTCATAAGCTAGCTCGAAGGCGCCTTTGGGACCAGAAAGCATGTTGGTGAACGGCAGCATGAGGTCAGCACAGTTCGGTAAAACCTGATCATGCGGAGGAGTCGCTGCAACTGCGGGAATAATTCGACCGTCTGAGAGCCCTTGGGCGTCCCCACTGCACATGGTGCCCAAGGCGACATCAGGCGACTGGCGACCCTGTGGCGACTATTGTGCCCTCAGCAGCGCCACCATTCCTGATCGGTACCCCGTGCCTAATCTTCAGGACTTTGCTGGAGCCCCTTTCGGAACAGCGGTTTTCTCGAAGATTGATCTGGTGCGGGCTTTTTATCAGATTCCGGTCGCCCCTGAGAACATCCCTACAACCGCCGTCACCACACCCTTCGGTCTCTTCGAGTTCATCCGCATGCCGTTCGGTTTTCGTAATGCCTCTCAAACTTTCCAGAGGTTTATCGACCATGTCTTACATGGCCTACCCTCTGTGTATACCTACATTGATGACCTCTTGGTGGCCAGCCAGAATGAAGAAGAGCACAAAGAGCATCTTGCCTTGGTGTTTGACCGCCTTGACAAGTTTGGCGTTGTCATCAACCCCTCTAAGTGCGTGTTGGGTGTGCCTTCGCTCGAGTTCCTCGGCCATCATGTCAACTCTGAAGGTTTGCGTTCCCTCCAAGGTTGAAGCAATTCGTGATTTCCCTCCACCAACTTCCAGGCGTCAGTTGTGCAGCATGTGTTCAAATTCCGCCTTCGCGGCCTGGAAACGCTCCGGTGCTAGTCGTCTCGGCCGAACAAACACAGGAGTACCTGAGCTGCGGATATGGTGCACAACCTCATTTTGAACCTAACCACTGCGAAACTGGGGGCTGATTATGTTTGCGTGTCTAAGATGCAATGCCCGAAAAGGGCTAAAAATGTCTGTATTCAGGACAGATAAGTTGGTGGGGGCAGTAAAGGGAGTTAGTCCACGGACAGACAGACCGGTTGTGCGGTCGAGGAGACGGGCACGTCGACAGTCAACAAAGAGATCGAACTCGGCAAGAAAGTCCGAGCTGAGGATTGCATGAAGGACATCAGCAATCACAAAGATCCAGGTGAACGACCGACGAAGGCCAATGTTTAGGGTGATGGACAGACTGCCAAAAGTGGGAATGGGAGAACATTTGGCAGCTTGGAGGTGAAGACCAGGGCTAGGGAAACGACGATCAGCTGCAGTTGGGGAACAACACTGATTTGGGCTCCAGTGTCCACCAGGAAACGTCTGTGAGTCGCAGTGACACAAAAATAGAAGGGGCGACCAGAGCCGGAAGAGCCAGAGAAAACGGCCGCATCTATTCTCTGGCTGGCTGGTTTTCCTGTTTCGGCTTAAAAAAGCAGGGTGAGGGACAGCGACGGGCCTTTACGCCGAAATTAGTGTGACACCAACAAGTATCGGCAGTCCGAGGTCGCGAATGAGAACGACGACGGCTGCGTGGGCGACTGGAAGTAAGGTGCGCGAGCTGTAGTTTAAGGGAGGCCATATCATCCGCCATGGCCGACACCTGCTGCACTAACTGCTCAATTACTGGCGATGAGGATGTAGAGATCTAAACGACGGAAGGCGACTGGAACCACTGCGCCTATATCATTCTATCCGCCATCGCATCCAGCTGTGAGACCGTGAGATATTGAGAACCGGACGCCAGGATCATTTGGGCATCTGCAGGCAGACGCTCTAGAAACATCCCCTTGACGAATTTATCGTCAACCTGCATGTCTCCGAGGAGAGAACGCTTTCGACGTAGAAGTTCTGAGGGTTTCCGGTCACCCAATTACTCCTCCTTACATAATTAACTGGCGATACCACTGTCGGTCGGACACAGAATTAAGTCGAAGAATTTCTGCCTTTAACGTGGAATAGGAAGAATCAGCAGGAGGATTAGATAGTAAGGAATGAACTTGAGAGATAACACTAGCGGGAAGAATCCCCACAAGTTTGTGGTATTTCGCCAACTCCTTGGTAGCGCTAACAGAATAAAATGCTGATTCGATGCGGATGAAATAAAGCTCTGGAGCGTGTTGCCAGAATTGGGGCAAGTTAAAATTGACGGCATGAGGGGACTTGGCGGGGGCATCAAGTTGTTGATCGGAGTGGGACATAATAATTAAGACAGAGATGGTAAAATATCGAGAAAATTCTTGAGAAATGTAGACGTAAATGGAATAGAAATTCACAAACAAATAGTACGTTCACGGATGGAAGGCACTGTTGGTTAGCACCAAGAAGGGTAATGGCCTTCAAAAATACTGCCTGCGTGATGGTAATGAAAAAAATCAGCATTATTTCAGAGACCTGAAAGTCTGGATATGTTTTCTTAAATAAAAAACATTGACACAAGTAGTTTGCTGGTCTACTTTCGACCCACAAGGCTTTGAATCTAAAATGCCACTGATATTTCGATATCGCAAGCCGTGCGTTGATTAACGAAGCATTCTTAGCGCATAGGGTGGTAAACGTTTTTCCGACTACTGAAAACGGTTTTATGCGGTAAATCTAAGATCGCGCTGGGCTCTCAAATAATGCCGGCGGTAATGTACGTTGGCTACTTAATTATCAAAAGTTCTAAAGCTCTCACGACTTTTTGTCCGCTTTCGAGTACCTATAAAGCAAGCGGGAGGGGGGGGGAGGGGAGTTCCATATATCATGCAGATCGAACACGAGGGTCGGTTGGCCGAATAACGTATGCAGCTTGATTTAGGCGTCCAGTGCAACACAATAACAGGAATTAGCATTAGTCACTGAACTTGCGTAATGGCAATAAACGAGACAGGGCAGCGAAACCCAGGAAAGTAGATGCTGAGTAGGTGAATCTTGGTGGAACGACGTCAGGAATATGGATTGACAGGGTGGCAGAGGTCGGGTGTCGTGATTGTGGAAGTTGCTTAACAGTTAAGCATACTCAACATGAGTTTTAGTTGTAGACAGCTACACTGTCTTTAACACATGGACATGGAAAAATAGGGTTTTCGAAGACTTTGACAACTACTTTCAAAAACACACCGAAACTCTATCAGTCATGCGACGCCGACAACGCCCCTACTTAGTTCAAAAGACTAGAAAGGCAACTTCGTTGTGCGCTATAGGTCCGATCACGAAAACATGACTGAAGATTGAGGGTGCTGAATGTCAGAGATAAACAGAATGTCTAGGTAATGAGTGGAGGGAGTTCGTATGCGACTTAACGACGTGTGAATGCGGGTGAGGAAAGGCCTGATTATAGGCTCTGAAGTGAGGTTTTATCGAAGACTTACATAGGAGCGCATATAGCCCAGTAGTAGTAGGTCGCTCGCTTGCTTGTAGATGCAGACTGCGCCAATCGTCCATTCACTGGCACATAACTCTCACATGTGGCTTCCCGAAGCTGGGCTCTGCCCAGCGGCCACACCCCGGCAACCTCCTCGACCGGTGGGCTAAACCAGGCTAGGATACCCGAGTGCGCGATGTGCCCGCGCACACGGTAGCGCGAATTCCGTTGAGACGAGGTTCCGTCTGGTGCACCGCAGGGGGCCGCGAGCTTGCGGCGATGTCGTAAGCTTTTGGCCCCGCTGGCCGGCATTGCCATCTCCGTGATGAGGTCCCATCTGAAACACCGTATTAGGCCACAAGGTAAATGAGTCCCCAGGTAAGCGAACTTCGCCTTGCTGCCTTTGCTTTCGCTTGTTCCTGTATGCTTGCTTGCTGTCTGCTTGTATGTATCTGTCCTTATTGAAAGCCAAATGTCGTTCTGTTGAATTAGTCTGTTCACCGTTTATGTTTCGGCAGCAAAATAGTTTAGAAAAGCTCTGCTTCCCGTCCCTCTACCCTTCCCTTATTCACCCTCCCCACCTGTTATGGCTCGACCTGGTACTTGAAATCGCGTGGAGCGTATGCGTACCCGACTCTTTTCCCAAATACTACTGCGGCAGAGGAGAACACGATCGGTCAAAAAAGTGTATTAGGAACTGCAAGTCAAGACTAACTGGAAGTAAGGCGTATTTATAACACCCTACTGTCGTTCGCCTGCATTCGGCCCAATGCACTTCGGGAAGAAAATTCTAAACCAGCTGGTCGATAATTCCAATGCACAGATCGATCAGGCTCGAGGAGAGCAGCCAATAGAGAGGCACCACGATTATACTGACAACGCGGAAGAGAAAACGCACATGGCCTCCATTGATTGGTCGGCTCTTGTCTTTGGCAGTATAGGCACTCCCAACGCCACCTCCCTTCAAGTCCTACGCTAGTGTCGTAGGCAGCCCCAGAATAACACGGGTCGTTCTTTCACTAAACAAAATTCTTGGCCCAAAGTGAAGTTCGGCCGCGCCGGCACAACCGGGCAGCCCTATTTAGGGAGGAACTGCTTGTCCACAGGGGGAGGGGCAGGAAAAGATGCGCTAAGGATCGCTGTGGAACTAGGTCGAAACGGTCGAAACAACCAAAATCGAAACAACATACTCTCTCTTACCCATCCCGCCGCCCCAATCGCCAGACTGGTAGGGTGGGTCCACTCACCCTGGCAGCCTGCAATATGAGCTCCCCTTTAGACAATCTAAGGAGGAACCGACCGGAACGGAGGACGGCGCTATTGGCTCGGGAACTGGCGCGCTGAAAGGTGGACATCGCCGCACCCAGCTAGACCCGCTTCTCCGAACAAGGCCAACAGGAGGAGGTTGGTGCCGACTACAGTCTTCTCTAGAACGGTCGCCCCAGGGCAGAGCGACGGGACGCGGGTGTCGCCTTCGACATCCGGAATGACATCGTAGGACAACTGCCCTGTCTGCCACGGGGTATCAACGATCGCCTGATGAGCCTCCACCTGCCTCTCCGGGAAGGCAAATTCACCATCATCGTCAGTGTCTACGTTCCCTCGATGACCAGTTTCGACGCTGCAAGGAACAAATTCTATGAGGACCTGCCCGCCCTCGTGGCGTCTGTGCCGAAGATGGATAAGTTGATTGTCCTTGGTGACTTCAACGTCCGCGTCGGCACAGAACGTGCTGCCTGGAGAGGATTGATAGGTCCCCATGGTCTCGGTAACTCCAATGACAGTGACCTACTCCTTCTACGCACCTGCGTATAACACCAGCTCATCCTGACGAACACCGTCTTCTGTCTGCCGGTGCGAGAGAAGACCACCTGGATGTATCCTCGGTCGCGACATAAGCAGCTTCTGGACTATGTTCTCGTCCGGAGACGAGACCAGTGGGATGTGCTGATGATAAAGATGATTGTGGGATGCCGACGGGGGGACAGACCATCGTCTCTTCATCTCCAGGACGCGAATTCGCCTACAGCCTCGAAGGAGTCCTCAAGGTAAGCGACCCCCAGGTAGGCTGAATATTGCATTGTTGTCTTTGTCAGCTCACCATCTCCATTTCAGCAACGAGCTAGCTAAACAGCTAGACAACCTTGCAGTCGCTGCCGCCGCGGTCGTGAACGCCTCCGTGGAGGACCGATGGCGTCAACTGCGGGACACAGTTCAGTCGACGGTGTTGGCCGTCCTCGGTCGCGTACGCCGCCAACTCCAATACTGGTTCGACGACAACGACGCCGCCATCAGCAACCTGCTCGTCGAGCAGGACGGCCTACACAAAGCCTACGTCGACCGCCCCACCGACAACAACAGAGCTGCCGTCTGATAGAAACGAACAGGTGAGTTCCAGGTTGCAGTTCAGAAGACGAAGATGCGGTCACTGGAACAAGAAATTTATTGGCCTGACGTTTCGGATTATTGCTCGAATCCATCATCAGAGGCATTCGCAGATAAAGATGATGGTGGCACAAGGCGTGCAGTACTTATAGCACGTGGTCGCCGTGGGACCATACGCGCCGTAATTAATAGCTCTCGCAATCACCGCTGGGGTCGTAATTGATGCGGTGGTGGCTTGCTAGTCCGAGTCCGAGTCGTTAATGGCCGTGATTTCGTCCTCCGTGCTGGATGCTGGTGTGACGATTGCTCGGCAAATTGGCTCACTGTCACTGGGATAATTGCTCGCCCGCGTTCTGCTCACGTGACTGGTCCCTCTGTTCAGGGAAAATCGCAGTACAGAATATGGTACCGGGAGGTCATTGTGCTTGTTGATCGATTGCGGGCCTGAGAACCATGACTCGAGCAGCTCGCGGCTCACGCGGTTGTCACCCCTTGCGAGGATTTCGGCCTCTTGAAATTTGAAAATATAGCCGGGTCCCGTCGAGTGTGCCGCCACCTGAGAGCTGCCGTCTGCCCGCCCCACTGCTGCTGCGTGCTAGGCAATTCGCGTACGGAGTAATCTCCCAGTTTCTGCGACGTAGTTGCTTTGTCCGCAACTACACCAGATCCGGTAAACGACTCCAGACGTTTCCTGCCGTGGCAGCGGGTCTTTTGCCTCATGACTTGGCGCCTAATGGTTGCTTCCGGCCTGTGTGCAACCCCAACTCCAAGTGGAGTGAGAAGACGACTGACGGCTTCCGAGACGTTCTTCACGTACGGAAGAGCCCGCCAACATTTGGGGCTAGTTGGATTTGGTCTCTGGTGTCGTTTTCGTATGCACTGGTTGACAAAGTTGCGCGGGTAACCGTTGGCTCTCATTACCCCTCGAAGATACTGTAATTCAGCAACCTTGTCCTCAATTTCACTGCAGTGCGTCTCAACGCGCTGGTAAAGCGCCCTTACGCAACTGCGTTTGTGACTGATCGGGTGGTTGCTATTGAAGTTCAGTATTTGCGTCGTATTTGTCGCTTTCCTGAACACTTTGGTCTTTAATCCATCACAATCTTTGCGGCATACGAGGACATCCAGGAAGGCCAGCTGGTTGTTTTCCTCCTCCTCCATCGTAAATTGAATGTCCGGGAAGACGGCTTTGAGATGTTCTTTGAATGTCAGCACCTGACCCCGTTCGATGACGACGAAGGTGTCATCCACATTCCGAGCCCAGAATTTTGGTCTGTGGTGTCGGAAAACCAGCGACTCCAGTCGTTGTAGGACCGCCTCGGCGATGAGTCCCGAAATCGGCGAACCCATTGGCGTTACCTTCACCTGCTCGTAGATGTTCCGTCGAACGTGAAGTACGTCTTGAGACAGAACTTTAGGAGCTGGATGATTTGGGTGTATCCGAGGCGATTCTCTGTTTCGTCCTATTTCTCTCGCAGGGGTAGTTCGATGGTCTAGACTGCCAGGTCCTGCGGGATAGAAGTAAAAAGGGATGTGACATCAAAGGAAACCATGATATCGCTTGGCAGGAGACTTACTCCTTTAAGTTTCTCCAAGAATTGCGTTGACAAGCTGACTGTGGTGTTCGAATCGGAGGTAAGAAACTTGAGGCGTCGGAACAGCCACTTTGCCAGTCTGTAGGTTGGAGTGCCCTTTAGTGATACAATAGACCGGAGAGGAACGCCCTCTTTGTGTACTTTTGGGAGACCGTAGAATCGGACTAGGGCCGTTTCTTGTGCTCTCGCCATGCGTCGGTCGATTGGCGATATTGCGCCTGAGTTCTCCATTGCCAACAGTGTCGCGTTAATCTCGCATGTCAGCGTTTTTGTGGGGTTGGATTCGTATGGGACATAGGACTGACGATCCTCTAACAAGCCTTTGGCTTTTTGATTGTAGTCTGTCCTGTCCAATACGACCGCTAAACGCCCCTTTTCCGCAAGCACGATAACGAGGTCGTTGTTGGCCCTGAGTTCCTTAAGTGCATCGCGCTCGACCTTGGAAAGCACGTCGCGTGGCCTACGAGCCATGAGAAGGGAGGACACTTGATGTCGAATGAGGTTCTTCGTTTAGTCTGTCGCTCCCGTGTGGCTGAGAATTGATTCCACTGCTGCGATCATGTTGGCAGGTTTGGCATCGGCTGTGTTGGATGAGGCCTCATGCCGTAAAACCTGCATTTGTTCCTCCGTCAGCTCCTTTGATGACAATTTGTGTACCAGTTTGTCGGTCTTGGATGACATTGGAGCAGGCAACTTACGAAATATGCCCTCTAGGGCTGCTTCGTGTGTTGCTTTCTAACGCAGTCGACACCTCGTTCAACAGGGACTGCGCGAGATGCAGGACGTCTGGGCGGTTCGTAAGGCTGAGGAGATCCAAGGATATGCGGACCGCAACGAATGGAAGAACTTCTTCTCCGCTATCAAAACTGTCTACAGTCCACCGACCAAAGTCACTGCAGCTCTCCTCAGCTCCGACGGCAGAACCCTCCTGACTGAGAAGACACAAATTCCACAACGCTGGACCGAGCACTTCCGAGGCGTCCTCAATCGTCCTTCCACCATCTCCTATGCCGAAATCGCCCGTCCGCCTCAAGTGGAGACCAACGTGGACCTCGACCTCCCGTCCTCTCTCCACGAAGCCATCAGGGTCGTGCAGCAGCTCTGCAGCGGGAAAGCGCCCGGATCGGACGCGATCCCTGCTGAGATCTACAAGTATGGTGACCCACAACTAATGGATCACCTGACTTCGCTCTTCCAGGAGATGTGGCATCAAGGAGAAGTTCTGCAGGATTTCAAAGACGCCACAATCGTGCATATATACAAGCGAAATGGTAACCGCCAGCTCTGAGACGATCATCGAGGCATCTCCTTAACTCGCATCCTCCTAAACCGCCTGAATAATCACCTAGAGCAGAGTCTTCCGCCGGAAATCCAGTGCGGCTTCTGCCGTAATCGCGGGACCACGGATATGATTTTCGCCGCCCGTCAACTTCAGGAGAAGTGCCAGGAGATGCGGGTCCACCTCCACTCTACTTTCGTGGATCTTACGAATGCCCTTGACACGGTGAATCGTGAAGAACTGTGGAAAATCATGCAGAAATTCGGCTGTCCCGGACGATTCACTCAAATGGTGCATCTGCTCCACGACGGCATAATGGCGCGAATCACGGACAACGGAGCTGTCTCAGAGGCATTAGCTTTGCCCAAAGGAGCGAAGCAGGGACGCGTCCTGTTGCCCACCCTTTTCAATCTTATGTTCTCTGCCATGCTGATAGACCTCTTTCGTGACGAACGTCCCGAGATCCGCATCGCCTACAGGACGGAAAGTCACCTCCTGAATCAACGGCGGATGGACTTCCAATCGCGCGTATCCACAACCACTATTCACCAGCTGCGCCCTCAACATCACCTCGGCGGAGGACATGCAAAGAAGCATAGTCCTCTTCTCCGCCGCCTGCGAGAACTGCGGTCTGGTCGTCAACATGGAGAAGACTATGGTCGTGCACTAACTGCCACCCAACACAGCCTCTCCCTACAATGCGCCACAGATCAACGTGAACGGAACGCAACTGAAAGTGGTGAACAACTTCTCGAACTTGGGCAGTACCCTCTACCGCAGCACGAACATCGACGACGAAGGCGCCCGCAGGATTTCGAAGCCCAGTCAAGCATTCGGCCGCCTCCGAAGCACACTTTGGAATCGCCATGGTCTCCAACTGAGCACGAAGCTGAAGATGTACAAGGCCGTCATCCTGCCGACGCTGCTGTACGGAGCGAAGACTTGGACGGTGTACACGAAGCAGGCACGCCGACTGAACCACTTTCACCTCAGTTTTCTTCGCCGTATTCTGAGGCTGAGCTGGCATGGTCGAATCCCCGAGACAGATGTATTGAAACGGACCAGAATTCTTAGCATCCACACCGTGCTGAGACAAATGCAGCTGCGTTGGAGCGCCCATCTCGTGCGGATGGACGACGAGAGGCTATCCAAACGACTTTTCTATGGAGACGTCGCGACGGGTTCTCGTCGCCAAGGAGGTCAAATTTGTCGACACAAGGATACTCTGAAGTCCTCCCTGAAGCGTCAGCAAATCAATAGACCAACTGGGAGAACTCCGCCTGGGACCGACCTACGTGGAGAAGGACAGTGGAGAGTAATCTTCGAAGCCAACCGCATCACCGCCGTCAAAGCCAAACGCGAGACACGCAAGCCACCGCCGACGCAGCCGCCGCGCAGCGCCATCGCCCAACCGCCTCCAGCGAGTCCACGATGTCAACGGACATTCCGGGCGTCAACTGGACTTGTTGGGCACCGTCGGATCAACTGCAGTACTCGGCTGCAGCAACCGTTATCCCTCCGTCCACTTCCCCCTTCGCCTCCCACGCCCTCAACTAACGTTGACTACCCTTCCAAACCATCACTACCATCTTCTTCTTCTTCTTCTTCTTCTTCTTCTTCTTCTTCTTCTTCTTCTTCTTCATCTTCTTCTTCATCATCACCTTCTTCTTCTTCCTCCACCGCCCCAACATCTGCAACTGTGGCGTCTACCATGCCCATAAACATTGCACACAATCCTGAAACACCAACACCGCCACCGTTAACACAACTGACGAGGACCTGGTCTATGCCTGTCCTCATTGCGATTTCACCCTCACTTCACACATCGGCCTGGTCGGTTACTTGAGAACCAGTGCCTGGAGTATTAACTTTCTCTTGCCGCATTCGCCTCAACTGCCCTCACTGCACCCATGCATTCACCAACCACATGGGTCTATTAGACCACATGCGCACTCACTAGAACCTGCGGTAGTCAACCGCTGGCAACACCACACCATCACATCTTCCCTCACCTACATTAGACAATGTTATCACCCACAATAAGCACCCAACTGTCACCTCTCACACAAGTGGGAAGTGTGCGTCTTGACTTCGTCTCCATGCGGTTCCGCTGCTGCATATGTGATTAGAGTCTGAGACTATCACGGTGTGTCAATCGCCATGGCTTTGTAGGCTTCCATTCCCCTGTTTTACTCGATAATCCCGTATTTTTATGCCCATAACGACCTACAAACGTAGCATACCGCACATTTCGGAGCAAAACTGTGAGGAGAATAGAAGAATTTCAATATCTGAACTTCGACTGTTCAGAAATGCTCACCGACATGGCGAAATTGCCACCTGGGTTCGTCGTATGTTCGTCGTAGGAACTAGCATGAACAGTCTTGACAGCATTAAAAAGTAGCCAAGGCTTCTTATCCTCAAAAGCGAGGGGTTCTATTCCCCTGTCTTACCAATCCAGGTTTTGTCATAGCCCTCCTAATTTGAAAAGGACTCTGTAAACGTCGGTCCTACCTGACTTTTAGCACGCCTATGGAAGTGTCAGTCAATGCTTCACCTCCTTCCCTGAATACAGTAACGTATTAGGCCAAATTACTGTCAGTAATTGCATTTCAGAAAATGCTGACGCGGCAAGCGGATAGGGCTGGGTAAACCCGATATGCGTACTTCGTGCCCCGAAGCCGCTTGGTCTGAACTTTTGGGAATCCGCTTAAGACTCTTTATTTTATGCGGACTTGGTCGGTCGATTAGGTCGCATTTCCCGTAAATGCTTTTTAGTGAGTCCGTCGTCTTGTAAGATATCTTCACAATGGACTTATGGAAGGCAGACAGTCGACTGTAAAATATTTTTTCCATTTTAGTCTCCACAAGTCCAATGGGTCGTCAAAAAGCCTGCTGCAGTTAAAACAAGACTCAAACTTTGTCCCCAAACTCTGCACGTCAAACTGTAGGTGGGGCTGCGCACAGGCTGCTTGAATATCTGCCCGGAGAGATCCTGGACACAACTCGTTTTAGCAAATGGGAGGGACGAAAAAGAATGTGCGTAAATTGATATGGTATTGTTTCGGGCTTATTACGCCCTCATTCAGCCATTCATAACCCTGGCCAGCTGCTTGGACCAGAAACACAAGCTTACGATCGTACACGGCGCAGATGGTCCACAGACAGGGTCTAGGAAATGGGTCATAGGCGCTACATCGAACGGCGCTTGTTTGATTCGGGAAGCCAATAAATCATTGTACGCCTATTCCTGCTTGACTACCAGTTTTATATGCACATGTGAACAAGAAGTTGAGTGTAAGGCTAAGTTCAGCCACCGCAGCCACCACCGCGTCATCATAGCCATCACGTCCACTGATATCAAAGTTAACGTTGACTCAATGCCAGACCTGAGGTAGACGATGTCTGCGCTGATAACTGACAGATGATATACTTTCTCACAGATGATCGGTGACCACACTATACTGACGGCTTGGAGTCATGTTGTACAGGAATACAACGGATATCTGAGAACAATACTCGAATCAACAGATCTGTCTCTCCTCTCTCTTCGAACTTACTGCTTTATGCTTTGAATCAGAATGTCTGTTCTTGATCAAAACGGGACTTGATTTGTCGTGAATGAATCCGGTTGTACTTCACCTTCATGGTTGTGGGGACGTTCGTGACTGACAACTGAAAACAACCGCAACACTTAATGAAATGGCCTATGCTACCGTTAACCTCTTCCAATGAGTAGAATCATTCCGAATAAAGGGATTAAATAAACCGCCCAATAGAAGCGTTTACCCATTGCCACCCTTTAATTTCAAATCTGGACCACCTTCCGGTTGAACTGAAGCTTGGACTGCAGGTATTAAAATTCAAGCCTGGACATACATATTTATTCCAAAACGGCGAAATCATACAGGTCAGCAAGTCTCTTTGGGAAATCAGTGATTTCTGCCTCCGATCCGAAGCATTCACTGGTGGATAAGTCGATCGAGAGAAATTCGGTCTCCGGCATTCATTTATACGGGTTGCAGGTGTTTATAAAACCTGCAATCTCCGTTCATAACGCACCCCCCAAAAGGGGCCACTTGGTAGATGTGCTAGACCAACACGATGGCTACATCGGATCCTGGCAGGCATTATCGGAAATGTGCACCCATAAAAATGCCAGCATTTGGGATGCGGTGACAGGCCCAGTCGCAGCTCACGCTGCGCCAGATGTGATCCGAGCCATCCCCACTTTTGTTTTTGTTGTTGAAAATCCTAGTCAAGTGTTTGTTGTGGATCATGGAATGTAGTGGTACGCCTAGGCGCGGGTTTACGCCGTGTCAGCCACATGCGTCCCCTCCGGCCTCCGGTCTTCCTGACTTGGTCATGGCAGCGGGTGCAAATGGGGAAGGAGGATAGAGTGCGGCAGATGCTGCGCAAGTCTGCTATCACTGTAAATTAATTTACGCCAAAGTCGCCGTGCGTGTTCTCAATCTGCTGTGGAGCACACGGTGGACATAGTCGAAACTGACGGTCAAACTCTTAGGTAATAATAGCGACGCATGAAAGGAACTGAAAGGAACGAAACAGCAAGAGACTACTGATTTTGAAGATTTCCTCCTTATGGACGGGCAAATTTCGCACTCTGTAGTGGGGATAAGTTCACTATTTAGATCGGTGTAACAGAAGGGATCGACTTTCTAATAATAGGCAGATGTCAGTAGTCGAAAACATGTGTACCCAGTCGACATTTCTATCTTTTAATATATTAAGATAATTAGTCTGGACAACACGCAGTTGTTCAACAGAAAATGAAATGCCGTGAGGCCATTTTCCAACAAATATAAGCTGATTTGCAATTCTTTTTTTTATGACGAAACCCAGAAAGACGATATCCTATCAGTCGCATACGATGGCGGCCGGGGGGAAGGAAGGGGGCGATGGTCGGTTGCCGGTGATCTGCACTGCTGTGAAGGAGGCATACGAGCATCTACCTCACTTGCACTTCTGACACCCATTCTGTGTTAAGCAAGGACCGGGGCGATTCTGGATTGACGGGGGCGCGGTAACTGGCCGACACAGGGCCTGGCTCGCGGCTGGCGTCAAAACGTGCCCCACACATGATCTTATGGAAGCTCATCAGTCTTGCTATGGTGAGGAGATCAAGCGCTGGATCAGTCCCACTTTCGTCTCCATTTTTTCCATCGTGCATGACCGACATGTCAGTGTCAAGCAGACTGACGATAAGATCGGACGCAGTGATTGATGTGGCATGGAGCCTCTGTCTGGAATGCGCCACGCGCCTGTTTGTACATCCCTCCCCCCCAAACGTCTGACACAGCATACGGTCATCATCCGTTGGTTCCGCTCTGGATGCAACTACGCAAATGAGACTGGAAGGGAGCAGCATAGAACTAGACATATACAGCCGCGGATAGAAAACATCAACAAAACCGCTCATTAAACAGCTGTTCTGCCCGATAGTTGAAGGACGCTCCCTGTCAGCTAAAAAATCTCTAGCCAAGAGCTCTTGACTTAACTCCCGAAATGCACACGCAAGAAGGGTCCAGGGTACCTTCTAAACTAAACTTGCAGTCTAAGAGTGCCCAGGATCTGCCGAGTTTGATATTACAATGCAGTATGTAAATTTGTATTAGAAGCTAAATCGACCACGTATAAGACACGTTTGCATCAGCTGCCGTTTCCTCTTGGGTGGAAATGTATTACACATAGAATGCGACACTTCTATAAAGACAATTAAAAAGCGTAACCCGAGATTGCTCCTTAAAGCAGGGGAAAATACCTAGGCTCGGTTAGAATGCCGTTCCCCCCCTCCTCCTCCTCCTCCTCCTCCTCCTCCTCCACCACCACCACCACCACCACCACCACCACCACCATCATCATCATCATCATCACCGCTAACTTCACACTGGACAAACAACTTTATTTCCTTGCCACTTTTATTGCCAGATCCGAGAACTAATGAAGTATGACTTCAGAGTGGTGGAAAAAGTCGTAAGTGGGGCTAATTACTCGTAAAGGTAATCAAGTCTGCAAGGTATAACCTGGACAGAGCTAAGTTTTGAAGTCGTCTCACCTGCTGAACTACTATAAGCCGTATCTTTCCATCGCTCGAATCTTCTACTTCAGGCATTTGGGAACCACGGCTGACAGCCTCGATCCTCCCATCGTTCGTGGGGTCCCTGTGCCTTAACCTCCAGCATACGAATAAACCTCCCAACTATCGCATCTAGTGACTAGCTGTTGTAAACAATCAAACAATCTACAGACAGATGCCTGATTTCCACAGGTATTTCCATTTCCAGAACATGGGCTTCCATGCCTGCAAGTATTCGTCAGACATAGAGCTGACAGTAGTTTCTGTGGATGCCTCCATGCGTTTTTGAGACTTCCAGCTCCTTAAACGATTTCCTGCCATGTCACTAGATATTGGTATGGCAAGATCTTAGAGACGGATGAAGTGACTTCGCGTCAGGCGCATGCGTGCTGAGGGTGAATGATCCAGAGTCTTTCGAGTCCCCCAAAACAAAGGAGGTGGGCAACGCTATTATCACAGTGGGTCAGATGCTCGTTCGTATGGGATAGAGGCATGAATGTTAGCAGTTGGCTGACACAGGTGTACTTTTTGCAGAAAACTGTTTTTCATTAATTTGCGGAAACGCAAGTGACCTTTGATTATTCATCGCCTGCTTTAGGACATTTGTGGGCATAGCACCAACTCACAGGTTATCCTCCAAGCTGATACCGCCAACGGTAAGAACAGCTTTTTCCGCCATATAAAGAGGGTTTCGGTTAGGCTGGATGGGCGGAAGATGATGACATTGTCAAACTTAGCCCCTCAATCAA